GGCTTGGATAGCAAACAAACATTGTTGCCAGCCATCAAGTCAACGGTACAGCAAAAGGCCCAGCCACGTAACCAATCCATGCCCGAGCTTGCTGCATTGATGCAGAAAACTACCAGGAAAATTTGCGGATTAGAAGCCAGCCCTGTGTCTTCAGTGCATCAGATGTCAGTGGCTGCATATGACGTATGATTACAAGACGGCATCAGTCGGTCAAAGTTGCTACTCGACCAAACTGAACACCGACGTGCCAGGAGCGTCATCCGACAACAAGGTCCACAGGTACTACGACGGAATGCCTGACAGAAGACTGTCGCAGAAAGAACTCGTTGTGCAACCATTTACTAAGAATCAATAATTATGTAATCAAGTGTAAATAAACATATTTGATACACTAACCAGATAAACATATTTCCGCTTGCCTTTACGCCTTGAGAGTCTATACACCAAGAATTGTGTTCACTGCACTCGCAGGTCCTTTTGAGGACACTCGCATCTCAGACCCTTCAATATTAATTAATGGGACATACCAGACTGGCAGACTTGTTGAATGGGGCTGCACTCGTTCCACCTCTCCTGAACACGCGGTGTATCCGAAAACCAACTCCGGTGATGTGAAAATGTTATTTATTAATTTATTCCCTCCAGGGGCCTTTGTAGGCATTGCAGAGAGTATACTTAAAACTACACACATAATAATAACATTAAAGCACACTGCTGTAACTTGATAATTGCAAAAACAAACACACCCCTGAGCATATACTTTAATAGTATGTGTTGATGCATAGTTATATTGCAGGACACTTCCTATACGTATGACACAATAGACCCTTCGCAGAACCCCATCAAGCAACACAACTGTCACCATTTTTTTTTTCGGGTTAAAGCGCACGATTGGGCCCCAGTTCACGTCGAATGCTAATGCAGCATTCGAGTCCAATACGCGCCGAGCAGAGTTCACAGGGATGGCGGACATAACGTTCTTGCCGAACGAATGCCCAAAGTATGAAAGCCTGGGGTAATTAGAGTAGTAGCTACTGTAACTCGTTTCATCACAATTTGGCAAACGGAAAAGGCTACAGTCTCGGCGAGTCAATAGGCACATTGGAGAGAGGCACATGACAACATATCATCAGAGTGCTCGTCTGCACAGATTTGTCACACACCTTCGCTCTGTCTCACTGATTGGCTCGAGGGGGCTGTGGCGGTTGCCCTTTTCCAAGTTACAATAATACGAAGTATAGGCAGCCCACACTTTCCAAAACGTCTATTGAAGAGACCGAGGGGAATGGTCAACATTTTTCAACAAGACTGCTCTTCAGGCAAGGGATGAACACAAATGTGAATAACCTTATCCGGGTAATTAGAACAAGTAAATAATTGACTTACTAATGCAATACACTCTTGATGAAAAAAAGTATTGCTGCAATAAATCCTACGAAAGAAAAAAAGGTGCAGTTAATTTATGCATATCCAAAACAGTTGCTCTTATAGCAAGTCGAATAGCTTTGAAGCAGGTGCCTGCAACGATTTATTCATCCCCACACTTAATAAAATGTCATGCTCGCAGCTGAAAATAAGTGTGCACTTCGCACTCACAAAAAAAGGAAGAAAAGCGATCGAATGTAGAATCGTCGATAAGCACAAAAGGTTAAAGATCGCAGGAACTTCCTCGCTAAAAGTTGCTATGGTTATTCGGTGACGCGGGGCTGAAACAACATCCCCTAGGCCCTAACGCGACGTATACCTTTCGCTTCGATTCTCAGACATTCCAACGTTCAAACAAAGCTAGAAAAAGGCGAATATATTATGCCTGAAGTTATATCGTAAAATTGTTGATAAGTATAGACGCAAAGGTCGCAGGAGCTTACTAAAAGTTGCTGTGATGCCTGGGGCTGAAACTAATTCCCCTAGGCCCTACGTCCGACGCATACATTTCGTGTCGATTCTCAGACATTCCAACGTTCAAACAAAGCTAAGAGAATGCGAAAATTTTATGCTAAAAGCACTCAAAGTTCTATCGATCCTCGAACAGATCCTGAATCCGAGCACCGGTACGGCGATACGGCTGATGCTGCCTCACAGGTGTTAACATCCAGATGACCCAGTGCGATCTTACGCAAAAAGGGTATAAAGTCTCATTCCTTCATATTTTCACATTATACGTGCGTCAGCGAACACGAAAAATCCCGAAGTCGTCGGAAAGCAGCTGCAGGTCACGGCTACCGCGCACCGAACTCGGATCCGCCAGCTCTGGGCGCTGCCATATTAACTGTGACGTCACGGCTCTTGGGAGGTCACGTGACGAGTGGTCATATTTGCGTAAAACATGGCGGCAACAGGGGGGGTGCCACTTCTGAACTTCCGGTTTATCACTCTAAGCCCCTCTACCTCATTGCTTCATACGCACGCGCGCTCTTGTAGGCACCCTACATGAAAAGAGGGGCTAGCGTACCTGGTATAGGTTCAACACAATGTACCTCACGCTGAATCCGCCGTTTTTTTTCCACTCATATTTCTAGTTCATTGTACCCAGAGCCGCATATTGGAAGAGTTTGGCCAATGGTTGTAGCAAAGGCCGCCGCCAGCGACGAATATTCCCCCCCGCGGTTGGAGCGTAAACTAAAAGTGCGACACATCATCGATCAATCAGCAGACCTCGACGTCACATCATTGGAAACGATATTTAAATCGTGAAATAGAAGCGTCCCATCTCGCAGCAGTAATGATCGCAACTACACTGTATCGCAACTACACAGTTTGCTCTGGTTTGAAGCGCGCGTTCTTTTATTCTACCGTTGAATTTGGACGTGACGAATCGAACTCGGCGTTCTGACGTCACCACAACCCGTGCAATTGAAGCAGACGGACCTGCGCTCCCCATGCCCAATATAACTAGAGCCCTGCGTATCCGCAGATTACCCGCGGGTTATCCGCAAATATCCGCGGTGAACAAGGATGGACACGGATAAAAAGGAATCAAACTTGGCGGATTGCGGATCGGATGAGGACGGCAGGAGCTCCGGAGTGAGGATCGAATACGGATATCCGCGGGTCCGGAACTATGTTTTGACGAGGTGGTCCATATCCGTGGGAGACCGCGCACTTCAAAGTGAATACGTGAGTGATATACAAAAAAGTGCATCATCGAATGTTTTGCGCGAGCAAATTACTTTCTTTGAAAAAAGGTGCCAATCAATCGAGGAGAAAAATTAACTTTACGGCAAAAAAAGCCGGATTTTCACCAAAGTTCGCTTTAGAGCTTTCTATCTCGCCAAACAATGACCTCAAAAAGTACAAGTAAACAATGAGGGGGCATCAATTTTACAGGGAGAGCGTGTTCTTGTTTGGCAGGGAAAAGAGTGGAAAATGTTATTCGGCAAAGAAAGCAATCTTAAATTGGGTTGTGTCTATGTTTATACAGCCTAGAACTTGGTCTGCCTCAGCGGGCGACGAGTCTCCCAGCTGTAGATGAGAAATTTAGCCAGTGCAGTACAACCGCTAGCCTGGGGTCTTTAAATGGCACCACGCAGTAGTGATACACGACCTCGCGTCGGTACGATACTCGTCCAGATCGAAACGGGCAGGGGTGGGGATTGAACCCAGAATCCCTGGGTTCTGCAACCTCGACAAGTAAAGCACAGCCTGAGTGTGGTTTTTTTTTTTTTTTTTTTCTGTTTGACAGTTTACAAATATCTAAGAATGTATGTTTCGGAGAACCCAGTAACGGGTTCATGTTTAAAACTGCCACTAGTAGAAGGTGTTGTCAATATTTATCGTGATATTTTCCCAATTGTGAGCTCGTGTGTTACCACATATATATGAGTATGTCCCTTCGTGAGTGACCCACCTTTCTACTCCTACTTTTTAATTGTTTGACAAATAAAATTACACAATGTTATTTGTCTGTCCTTCGTTAATCTTCATGTTTAAAATATACGCGTCTGCTTAAAATAGGTGTTACAAAAAAAAAACAAAAAAAAAACGGCACTTTTTTTTTTCTTTTTGAGCGCACCTTTTGGGCAGTCTGTCGCAGACTGGACGATTTCATAACTGTGATTATCTTTCCTGTGACGCTTAATATACCTGAAAGAATCACCGATTATAATATAATTATGATAAAACAAGATACAAATAAAACAACTTTCATTGTATGACGTAACTTTAGTTGTATTCTGACTTGAAGAATTCTTTGTAAACAGATAAGTAAACAGCCTATAGGTACCATCCAGACGCTTTTTTTTTTTTTTTGTCATTCGCTCTTGAATTTATGTAATAATGTGAATGCACAAATGGAAATTCGGATGCGGATAGAAAATAGGGATGTGCAATTGATCGATTACCATTCCGATTAATCGTATAATGCTTTAATCGCGATTCATTTTTATCCATCTAATCTGATGAGTTTTATGTCAAAAATTTTTCGGGAGAAAATAAAAATTTTTGCTTTACTACTTCGGGCATATTTATACATTTTAGGGGGCAGCGTTGCTGCAATCCACATATTAACAATTTAGAATTCCCTATGATCGTAATCCAGTGGTACCAACGAACTTTAAAAAAATAACCTAAACATATTTTGTACTTAACATGGTTTCCTTCTTTTTTTTTCTGTTTGTTTTTTAACGAGACCGCAAGTTCTACGATGAATGGCATAGCAGAGAAAGTTTAGAAAAATATGTAGCTTTGACACTTTTTTAGCTATTATGCTCGGAGGTCAGTGGAACCGGTTAATTGAATAATTATTCGATTAAAAGGCAGCGATTCATTGGGGGTACAATGTTTAATCGACGCCCAGCCCTAATTAAATGTATGCGGATGCAGATCAGAGTCGAATACAACAGTTTAAGAACATTTCGGATGCGGTTCGGGTGCGGATAATCCAACCCTTGTCCGCACCGGGTTCTACCAATGACCACTCTAAGGTTGTGCACCGGTAATTCAAGGAAATTCTTAATTTGAACAACCGAAGAGTGCCGGTTTTCCAGAAGAACGCACAGCAGTGAAAATGACACCGACACTTTAATTGGGCGACAGGCTACATTAAATGTGGATGTATATGCGCGAGGCGCAGGCCAAGATTAGCGTTCTTCATGCTCGAGGTCGTCCCCACATAATTGGTCGGAATTCCGTCAGTTCACATTCCTGCAAGCGAAGAAAAACATTATTTTTTCAATGTCCAAAAAGAAACAAAAAAACATAAGTGCCAGAGGTGAAATGTAACATGTACAAGATGTTGAGCCCTCCGCAACTGAAGCTGGATGCGATAGCATGCAGGAATCGACATCACCGGCGATTTTGAACCGCTTACTTCGGGTTTAAAACTGTGTGCAAGGGTGACACTGTTTGCCCCGTTGTACCCAATAAGAATTCTTTCATCAACATTTCACGACATGGCTAGACTGTAATGAGGTCGGGCGTCACTTCCTAATATACATTATGACCCAAATATAAAAAAATTTAAAAAAGTTATTTGAAACATTTAATTCATTAGCTAATTCATTTTATTCATTTGGTCTTTTTTCTAGCGGCTGCCATGGCCACCAACTTGCCTCCAGCACTAAAATAGCCCTAATGCGACATCGAATTTTTTTTTTTTTACAACTTGGGATTTACAAAAAAGGAAAAAAAGAAAAACCTACGATGAGTCTTGGCATCTTCGCCTTGAGTCCGTTAGCAGCAATGAGACTGCGGGACAGTTGGTTCTGAAGGAAAACCAGAAAGATTTCAGCGACATTTGATGGAGGCCAACTTTTTCCCACTCTCAAGTAATGTGTAAATGTGCACTTTACTGATCAACAAGACATAAGTAATCAAACATGAAAGCAACAAAATTTACATAAAAGTTTTTTTTTTTTTTTTTTTTCTTTTTGCAGAGCCGTCTTGCACGAAATAAATTTCAAACCGAGCACTTTGTGATTAACTGATCGGACATCTCAACGAGCTGAAAGAAAGAAGAAGATAGGATTCGGAAATAAAAGGAGCACGGGACAACAAGGAGAAGAAGTGGCTGGTACAACGAGGACGAAAGCGGACTGGGGGGTGTCTTCCTGGGAGCCGTCAACGCAAACAGAAGAGACTGGGCGCAACTGCGCGGGAAAACCGGGCCGTATCGTGAAGACGATGTTCTGTTGTCCCGGACGACTCCCAGCGGCGGCTGCACCGACCATGGAAGACATCTCCACACATGGTTGCCACGACGTCACCACCGTCGTTGGCAGGTGAAGTGAAGTGTTTCGCTTAGACCTTCATTACCTTATTTGGCTCGAGACTCGCATCTATTATTCAGTAGCACATCAAATAGTTGTTTTATGACTACCCTAATGAAATTTTGTATCCCGTAACGTATACCTTGATTTCTTTTAGATTCGTTTCGCTAGAGTTTTTCAACGCAACTACTAAAACTCACACAAAAACAGTACTTGCCTCGTCAATAATTTAATGTATCTAAAGAGAGCTTGACCTCGAATATCCCCGAACCTCCTCACATACTCCTAAATTAACTTTAAACGTCATTCCTGTGCCACAGACCTTTCATATATGATGAAGTCGTGCGCTCTTTCTTTCTGATACCTATTTTACTGCTTTAAATCGAATGTAACATGAAGTTCAAAGTTTACTTAGTTATTTAGCGAGTTTATTTTCTATTGTGACTATTCCAAAAAAGCAGGAATCGCATTTTCGATTACTTACGATGAGCCTGTCCATGTCAGCCATGCTTGTCTGAAAATAAAAAGGAACCGAGCTAATCAATTCTTGAGGAAACTTCAAACTCACAAACAATAACAGTTTCAATTATATACTGATGATTTTTTTTTTCATGTGTAAACAAATTGCAACGCTGTTCTTATTTCATGCTCTTGTGCATAAGAGTATATCTCGTGATCAACATGAAAACACTAAACAGGATAAGCGTGAAGTATAACTTACGACAGTCGTGCCGCCGCTTCGTGCCTGTATCTGCCTAATCTGCACAGCCTGGAAATGCATAAGGTTTTATGTGTTTGAACAGATGTCTCCAAACCCGGGCCCGCGGAGGTCTAACCACCGGCCCGCGGCTGGTCGTGGTCCTTGCAGTTGCCCGCGGCCCGTTTCTAGCTGGCCCGCCGGCGCAAAATAGGCGCGTGCAAAGGAACGGCGCCGCAACGCTCGCCAAACGCTTCGCGCCTGAGCTTACCCCGCTGATTGTTGTGTGCCATATTTATTGCACTTTGTCACGACCCGCGTCTCCATTCGTAGTTCCCTGTTTCATGGCTCGTAACCGCGTTCAATGTGATTCTCGTGTATTTTGTGTTCTGTGTCAAACGTATTACGTATTGCCAACACCGGTTCTACCGTTCTCATTAGTGTTCTGCCCTATGTAAATATGCCAACGTTCATATCCGCTTTGATTTATGCCTGGAGAATTTTCTTGGTTACAATTATCTATGTTGTCATAATTAGCTCTTGAATTATACTATATACCAGGGGTAGCCAGGCTGGCCTGGCCTAAGAGCCGCAAACAAAACCACGGAACTTCTAAGAGCCGCGGGGGGGGGGGGGGGGGGGGGGGGAGGGAAAATGTAACTTTTGTTTAGAGTCTGACGGTACGTAGGGGGGCACAAGGCTGTACGAAAAAAAGAACGCTCGCGCTGGAGTCGGGTGGGTTCGTTACCTGTCACCGACTATAGCTTTTAAAAGAGAAACTTCACAAAAGCTATAGCGTAAAACTTGAAGAGCGGGTATGTTTTGTTTTCATCGTAAGATATCCAGACCACTTTCCAACATAGCACTTCAGAGAAGTCTCGAAGGATTCTTAACTCACCGTAGACAATTCGTTTTGGGTTAGTCGAAGTTTCTTCAGGCATTTCTTGTCTATGGAAAAACAGAAATAGACGCCAGATTAAGTCTTCATTGAAGTTCGCTCTACCCGCAGTTATGCCAGCGTTCTCTTATATATACGGAGATATAAAGGGTGGAAAAATAATCAGATTTCTCCTCAACAAAAACAAATAAATTTGATTCATTTAATTTAAACCAGATTTAATCGATCTTAATCAGAAATGATATATTAGTCTCTCTGTAGCTCGAAAATAATTATTCTTTATTGCATGATATATATATGTAAATATGGTAGACTAATGTGCCAGTGCGTGCGATCACCGACGATCCTGCGGGAATAAATAATTACTGTAGAGTTAAAGTAATTTAATTAACAGCTTATTAAAGACGTAAACCTGTCAAATTATAACAAAATCAACTTTATAGTCTTAGCTAGTTAGAAAACCCTATTTGCTTTTCTTTCACGTTCAACTGCTGTAAATAAAATTTCTTAAAAATTGTATTTTACCCTAAGCAAGAACGCAATCTAAGAAAAAGACAACCAGCAGTCACTTTTACACACAAAACTGCAAAAGCGCACTATCGATGTCCTTGGAAGACCCAAAAGTGGTGGATAGGGGGGGGGGGGGGGGGGGGGTTGGATGAGCTCCACTCTCCGGGCTTCCTTAGCTTCTTAGATCAAAAATCGAAAAATGCGTCTCATGAGACTCCATCTTTGGTTTGAAGAGCCGTCGTCTAGTTCCTGACTCGGAGCTTCTCCTAGCTTACCATTCTGAGCCAACAGCACAAACCAATGGAAGACCCACAACAAGATCAGTGGGAGTAAACTAGTTTCATTCCCCGGGCTTCCTTTACCCAACCACAACAAACAGCCACCTCAAACCAACCACAACAAACAGCACAAAAAACAAGTTAGGAGGACCTAATTCCCAATTCACACAAAAGGTTAAAGGTACCTTTACCCTAGGTCCCTTAGCTGAAATTACCTGTAGTAAACGGCATTCTTGATCACATGATAAATAAACGGAGCACCTTAAGTTGATGTCCATTGCATTCCTGCTAAACCGCGAGAGCAGCACGTGATAAACAATATTCCTTGAAATCGGTTTGACGCGCAGTTTTTGATTATTGTGTGATGTATCACATATAAAACCTAAATATTATTTGTGTTTGCTTTTATGGTACTTTTTTTTCTAAGTCTAACGACGCACCTTAATGAGTCTTGCCTTAAAACGTCCAACCCGTCTGGTCACACTGGCCATAGATCATCTGTGTTTACGAGTTTCCACTGCGAGGTGGGCGACCTTTTTCTGCAGCTCCATTTTCCCGCAAAGTTCTCACTGAAGTAGCTAAACAGTGCCCGGCAGAAACGAACCACGTCGGAGTCTCACGGTTACGCCAGTCACGCCATCGAAAGAGATGGACGACGACGAGGATAAAAGGTCCTGAGCGGGAGAGTCGGACGACTCGTTTATAACCTCGAAAAAGAGCTCGCAGTGGTCCATCGCGTTCAGGTTCGTAGCATACATTATTTTCCACGCACCGCCGCTGCTACCTGCTAGCTGGAGTATGCGTTTCTCGTTGACGTATTATTCCATCACATTTGTGTTCACAATCATTTCATAATTTGCTACTTATATATATTCAATTTGTTATAATGCATTAAACAATATATATTTATATATCTTTGATGTTTATTTTGAGTTCGTGAGTCCGAGGCTACTCTCTGTAGCTGTGGAGGGAGCTTGACGAGCTCCGCTTAACACAGGACCTCACTTAGCGAAAGGGACCTTTATGCGCCATGTGATTACGATCTCTAGCTCTCTTTACTACACGTGCCTGTGCCAAAGGTACCTTTACGCTGCCGCGTGAATTGGGTATAAGACCAGTTTCAAGTTCTGGGCTTCTTACCAAACGTAATGAGAGTATCAATAACAAAACTGGAACGAAAAATCATCTACTCTCAAATTAACAGTGTTCAGGAATGGGCAACAAATACAGACAATGAAAACAAAAAAATAACAAGAGGTTGATTTCTTTTTACAGCACTTCAAGATCAATCACCAACAACCAACAACGCACGAAAAGAAAAGTCTAGCTGATTAAAAGAGTTAATAGTCAGTGTCGGTTTCAAGACACAGCCTCATACCTTCCAATCCTCCGCCACCCCCCCCCCCCCCCAATTCTCCCCGGCCTTTAAACGTAGATTTCAAAAGTTTGTACCTTAGTGTAAATTAAATAACTAGGCGCACTAAAAAAATTCATACACTTTCGGAGACTTGTAACAGCGTAAAGTAGGTTTCACTCCCGCAGAACGCCCCAGTTCTTTTTAAATTTCGGTGCAAGCTACCTGGGACAGCCTATATATGTGTACTGGTAGTGTACATTTAGGACACTACAAGCATACATGTAGTGTACTAAATGTTCACATATAGTTTACCAGAAGTGCACTGAAGGTGAACTTCTGGTGTACTACAAGTGTACCTGTGGTGTACTAAAAGTATACTATTTTTTTCATAAAAGTGTGAAAGTAGTACAGTTTTAGTATATAAGCGAAGTACACTATTAGTATACATTCAGTATACTGGTTTTGAACTACTTTTCACCAGGGTATAGCGTCCGCTGCGACTCTTCTATTTTGGCTTCAATCGGCCATTTTGGCGCCGAATCATATCGGGAGAAGGGGTTTCAGGGATGCCAAACCCCGACTCCATTTTGTGCACGTTTTAGTGCACAAAACGGAGTCGGGGTTTGTGCACTTTTTAGTGCACAAATGGCATTTTGAGGGGCAAGGAATTATAGTTTTGGTATATCTAAAAATTTTCCTGATTAATATTTATGATATATTTGGAATACCTTTCGCACGTATTTCGAATGGGGACAAAATAATACAGAATGAATACAAAATGAATATTCGTATAGCTACACAGCTACACCGCTACACATTTTTGGGGGGATTTTATTAGTAAACGTGTCCTTGCGGTATTTCAAGGCACTACTAAATACATCTTACAAATAACCATCATAAACGAACACAAACACAAACACCATGACGGGCTGAACACCTGAATGACAGTCCCGTTGACTGCTCTAGAGCCTTATATAGCCTACATATTGAAAGTAATCATTTGGCCAGTGACCAGCCCTGCACTTATTAAGGTTCCAAGTATTCGACATTCTCCTCGGGAGTCTGTCAAAAGGGAAACAGTGTTTTAAAGGTCGTGGACGATATCTTTTACTACAAGCATTAATACAGCTAATAATAATTTGGCGCAGTCGCTAAAGCAATATCCGTAAAAACGGCTTCTAGGAAACATTTTACTGCTCCTCTGCGTAGCACCACCCAGGATGAGGCGAGGGAAGCTAGTTTCTTGACTTCAAAATAGTTATTTTGCTTTTCTTTACTAGTTGATTATTTAGTATGGTCATTAACGTCACAATATTAAAGTCACTGCTCATATCACATACAATGGTGAGTATACGCATTCAGTAGACTAACATTATGCTAACACAATTACACGCCAAACATATCTGCTCACAGCACTTGCTGAAGCTTTCCAGTATCAGCAAGTGTTGTGGTTGTAGTTGCTGAACCCCGTTTGTGATTGGTGTGCAAGAAACTCATCAGGTCTGTTCTTGATAGAAAAAAAGGAAGCAATAACATAAATTGGGCTGATTTATCAGTGCAATGCTGCACAACTGAATTGACAAACTAATCAAATGTTGTGTTTAGGCGCTTCAGTGTACTCCAAATCTGCTTGAAGTGAATTTCTGATAGGCGAGCTCTACAATACTTTGGTAGTTTAAGTCAGACTACCAAAGTATTGCACTCAAAAGATACTTAAAGCATAACACAACAGTATTTACGATTTCCAGGTATTTTAAGAGTATTCTGCACATATTTTTCATTGCTGCATTTTAATTAGGATTAGAGTACATTTTGCATGAAATAAATACATATTTTAAAAAATCTACATGAAAGGTATTTTGGGCCTACTATTTTAGTATTTACATATTTCAGAACGCATGAAGGGAACTTGAAATGTAGTTTAAATAAATGTATTTTTAAAACATTTTCACAAATATATTTTAGAACTAATTTTCGGTCTATTTATTGTCTACTTCCAATTATGAACTGTACTTCAAAAACACTCAAATCAGAATGTGGTATATTTCAAACTTCTTAATTTTCGCTAAGGGATAGCATGGCAATAGGAAAAAATGAAAACGTTTTTGTATCGGGAGATCCCTATATCGTTGTTATGGCCGTTCTATGGTAAATTAGCGGTCCATAAATTGTTCATGAACTGTCTACAGGAATTCATAGGGTGGACATAGGGGTTATAGAATAACACAAGTATGGACGTAGGACGTCCATACCTATTTTCGTAAGAGTCTGATAAGCCCGTGTGGGCTGCCCAAGTAGGCCCCCTGTGGGAAGCCCACGTGGGCTGCCTAAGTATGCCCCCTGTGGTCCCAGGTAAGAAGCTTAGGGGCTGCCCAAGTAGAGCCCACATCGACAGAAGCATAGGTGGGCTGCCCATGGTTCCCTATGGGTCCCACAAAGGGGGGTGGGCACCATGTGGGCTGTCCAAGTAGGCCCCCCGTGAGTACCACGAGGGCAGACCATGTGAGCTGCGCCAGTGGGCGCCTTACGGGGGAAGCCGAGGTGGGCTGCCCATGTGCGGCCGACTTGGGCCCGAGTTGGAATACCGACGTGAGACCAACGTGAGCTGCCCACGTGGGACCCCTGCCGGCCCCCCTTTTGGAGACCACTTTGTGCTACTTGCGTCTCTTTCTTTCTCTTCTTGCTTTCGAAGCGTCTACGACCACGTGATATTGAAGAGATCGAGGGAGAGACGAACAGAGAGAGCGTAGCGCGAACCGCCGTACCGTATTTTCCGGACTGCAAATTTTTGAAATTTGAAATTTTACTTTGTGCGAACTTTCTAGATGTGCGGACTATACAGAAATTTCGTTTGTCACGATCGTTCATTATGAGAAGACGTGGCGGATTTTGTGAATGAAAGGGTATGTTAATGATGGTTAATGTGTATTACAAGCTTTTTTGTAAGCTAAGCAAGCACGTCAAGGTGTGCCTTGTATGAGGATATTTTCGTGTCGACTAAGCACCAGGCGCGGACTATGCATGGCGTCCGGGCTATTCACCGGGTGCGGGCTATCTGAGGAAAAACTTTTATTTGTACCCCAAATTTGCACCTGCGGGTAGTCTTAAAAAAAAGGTAATTGTTCGCCTTCTTCCAACCGCTCGCCCGAATTGCCTCAGGGCTCATTCACACTGGAAGCGGATCCGCGTTCGCAAAGCGGTTGCGAACGCGGTTGTATAAGGATTCAGTACAATTGCACGCGCATTTGATGACATCAAATGCGCGTGCAATTGCACTGGATCTTTATACAACCGCGTTCGCAACCGCTTCGCGAACGCGGATCCGCTTCCAGTGTGAATAGGGGGTCAGTCATCTCCGTTCTCTGCTGCAACAAATTCTATACAGCCAAAATGAAACTTTGGGTTTGGCTAGTTAATTCATTATAATCTAAAAAATTGAAAAGCACAAAACAACAACAACAACAAACGTTGTGTGTATATTTTCTTGTCTGCGTTTTTGTGCGTTTAACTCTAGATCTCAGTCGGTCCGCATCATTTATTTTGACTCTGCTTATATCTCTGCACGTCTCGCAAAAAAAAAAAAAAACAATTGCTGCAATTAGAAAATTAAACTATGAATTGAAGAAACCCAGATAATATTGTCACCTTAATATATTTTGCACTACCTCAGATATTTAACCTAACATTTCACAAGTTCAGTGTTCCAACACATACATTTGTTTGGTAAAGACATTTTGGCCCTTTTAATTGTTTTTTCTTTCTTTTTCTTTTAATTATTACTAGGGGCTCTCATTGCGCTAAATGTGCAAGCGATTTCCTGTTCAGTCAATTGCGTTTTGTGTAGCAAGGCCGCGGAAAAGCAGAAGCATTTCGTCCCCAGAAAAAAAATAGAAAAAAAAGATGCCTAAAAAGAACTTTATTAGGGGTTTGTATGAACTGGAGGGTGAGACAAGGCTGAAGGGGGAGGGAGGGAATCTACATAAACTTTGTTTACGAGGGGAGGTATGTATCCTGATGGTGAATTAGATGGTTGTTGTTGCACCATGTTTTTAAGCCATACCTAGAAGTTATCAAACGGAAGTAGTTATCTCGCGTCGACACGAACCTCATGAAGGCTTCATATAAAGCTTGCCAGCCCGGACGTGCATAAGTGTCGAGATAAAAATCAACATTGTCCGAATGAACAGTTCTTGAAAATGTGGAATGGAAACACGAGAACTTATTCAACTTTATAAGAAAAGGGCAGAGAGTATAACAAGTTCAACCGTCGCCTATATGAACTAGATAGATCAAGAAAAGTGCGTGAAGCCCGTAGACAAAATATTTAAAGTCAAGCACCAATTAAGAGAATACTCGTTAGTATCTTGCGTCTAGTTTTACGCTCACACAACATGTGTAATTTCTTTAAATAGCCTCTAAAGTTGTGGCCCGTGGACTGACTAAAATAAGTAGCTTCGCTAATATTTTTCTCAACGACAGAACAACCAAAAGTTTTTACCAAAATTTCACTCACCATCGTCATCAGAGAATACTTTTCTGATTATCTTTACCACGGTAGGTTTCTTCTTGCGTTTCGATTCAGTCACAGCTACAGCTAGAACCAAGCAAAGGATGATAGCTAAAGATATTTTCATTTTCGAACGTCTTAACAGCCTTTTGCAACAGTTGTGCAGGTCAGAAGAATACGCCTGGTAGCAACACTGAGCAGAAGGCTTTTTTATAATCGCTTAAATGCACCCCTGCTGTGATATCTTCATTCTATTCGCCTCAAAAGGGCAACGTGATTACCGGAAATGCTGCACTTATCTTTTTCTTCAGGCGTCTTTGGACAGGATGTAATCAAGCATCACTTCGACGTCAATTATAAGCCGGAAAAAATGAAATTGCTCCTACTTTTATAGTGGGTACGATATCTCACGGCCGTCATAATCCACGGTATCAAAATCCTTTTTTTTTTCTGTCAGTGTCCTTGACCCTGAAAATAAATATCCTGTAAGCGGAAGCTTCTAATGATCATTTGAGGTCAAACAAAAACATAATTTACTATTTGTTTTACTGCCAATTTTTTTATAAAGTTTGTACATGTATTGTAGCGTACGTAGTCACATGATTCTGAAGTCGAAAACGGTCCTGACTGTCTATGATGATATTCGATTGGTCTCACTTCACGATATAAAAATTTAACAAGTTAATGCACTAAAGTGAGTGTTCGCTTTTAATACTCTGGACACTTTTTTCTTCCATCGTGCTAACCTGCGCAATATGGCAGTTTTCGGCGATGACGGCGGTCGTACCAATGACTGCAACTTCAACACTGTTGAGGTTTTCAAAGGTCTACCAGATCACATGAACACATTTGTGCACGCGCACATTTGGTCGATCAACAGAAGATATGAAGTCCGTGACTCCTAACTGGTTTGTTAGCTTAGTAGTGTTCTGTATATCAAGTGACCGCGGTCTCCGACCTCAGCGGGACCGTTGCTTCGACGTCGTGCATTTGGTGCACGACTTCGGAATGACGGTCGGGTAACCTTGCTGGTGCGATGAAAGCACTGATTGCTCCCACAGCCACGTGCTGGACCCCTGACTTAAAGAGTCGCGGAATACTCTATCCGGTTCCCAAGGTTTAGCAGCTAAACAATGCTTACACAATAATAACGAAACCTGTTCTTTTTTACAGCGAAGGTTTCTTTCCTGTCCGCCGACAGAACAGTAGTCGACAGAAAACTATCGCGCGCACCTTTATCACCGTTCGCGCGCGCCTTATCTCTCATCATGTGCTTTTGACACTTGTTTCAATGAGAAAGCCACAAAACAAGTGTCAAAACCATGTGATAGATGATAAGCACGTAGCGCTTCCCGCATGCATTTCTCGGTAAAGATTGGGGTTGCATAAGCTGCCGCTACAACGGCAGAGTGACGTCACTAGCCCCCTCTAACAATGCGGAGCACGTAGCGCTCCCTGCATGCGTTTCTAGGTAAAGATTGCGGTTGCATAAGCTGTCGGGCCAAATCAGCGTACGAAGTCTTACATATATAAAAGAGTTTTGGTACAGCGCATTTACTTTTCTTTCGTCAATCATTTCGTATAGACCGTTTTTATGGCAAACACCACCAGGTGTTGCTCCAGTCTTTGACGTCCCAGAGAACTTCCGGTTTTGCCATAGCAACGAGGCCACCTTAACAACGCTGCATGATTTTTAGATGAAACGTTTAACTCCCAATTCTTCAAGTGAACGCCAAAATAACGAAGGAGTGCGAGATCTGTTGAAATGTTTCGAGTATTGTTGTAAACCACCTTGCCTCCTTCAAGACGTAATACTGTACAGTCGAAGGCCCTCGTTAAATATCCAACTTTGTTGTCCATGTAACATTTATGCTTTATAACACTGGTGGCATACGCAAGCTCAGCAGGTTTGCAAAGGCGGTGCGGTTGTAAGTCGATTGGGACACAAGCGGCAGTTCATGTTTCTAAACAGCAAAATGGTCAATAGATCATTTTGCTGTTTACAAACATGAACTGCCTCAAACTATCTATGTATGCTATTTAGAATTGTATTCTTTATACCAAATTGAAGAGCTGCCATCCATGAACATTTCAATGTCTAGAAAATAGGGTTATCTGTAGCCGCCTTTTTTTCATTTATATTTTAGTGGACCTCCCTTTCAAAATGTAACATTTATTTTCTCGAGCTGCAGTTTATTCAATTCATACGAAACGTTATATGCCTAGCCTATGGAACATTAAATTCACAAATATTACATATTTAACTAAATGAACACTTCAGGTTTCAAAATAAAAAAATAAAGTTAAAAATAGCATTTCTTTTTTGCGTTATAAAAACGTATGTGCGTGAACGAAAGCAAATTTTGCTTTCGTTCACGCTTATTTCATTATAGGGCATCAAACTTTTCCCATTCAGTTATGACAAGCCACAGTTTCGTGATAACAAACACAGATGTTGCCAGCTGACCAGGAATGGTTTTTAATCGTGTTTGTCGACGTGCACCGTTTGGAGCGCTACATGAAAGACCAAAATAACCCCCAAGGTCAGACGGTGTCAGACGCCTGAAGGCTTGCGCGGAGCGCGGGCTTGCGATATCAGAACAAAAAGTGTGACGCTGCATGTTTGTTTGTTTATTTGCTTATTCAGACTTTACAGTCTCCGATACCAGGGCGGGCAAAAGGCAGATACGCACTGCCTAACGTGGCCCCATTACCGGTTCACAATGCTCAGCCCTAATCCCGAAACACACCCACACACACACACACACACACACAAATCACCAAAAATAAACAGCGAATAGGAGAGAAAAAGTACACAATTTTTATACAGCTGTTAGAACACCGTTGAGGTAGTTGAATATATTGCAAAGAGAAGGGGGGGGGGGGGGCATTTATAAACAATAGAATTATAACGGGCGTACAAAAAAGTGGTTTAATTTATTACACATATATGTTAAATATGTAATTTGTTGCGCATAATAGAAGGTACTTTTTTTAATAAATAGTTATACGTGTGATTAGACCCAGAGTTTGGAATAATTTCTTGAATGATTGGATGTTTGATTAGTATATGAGGTATTAAATACGCCAATTGCTGTGTACCGTAATTTGTCCTCGGCAAAGGTATTCTATCTGTCATATGGAGGCATGCGCATACGCCTGTATGTTCCGCAGTGCAGCGGTAGCTTTTCGATTAGAAAGGGAAGCCGAAACGGGCGTAGAGGCATGTGTTAGTTCCAGAATTTCTCATCACGCTGGACAACTTCTATATGGGTGTCGCCTGACGTCGATACTATTAAAACGCAGCACTTACTCTTCCGCCAGAAAATTTGGAGACTACAGACTTGTAGTCTTCCGCCAAATTACTTGTAGAGTTCCCAGTAAGCGAAGAAGCTTTGTCGGCGAGATTATTTCCAGTCCTCATCAGGTCGCTTTGTGCGAGTACGGTAAATCTTCAAATGTGGTTGATGCTTGCTGCTGACGCTGTTTACAGTAGTAAGGAGCAGTTATTATACGTTCCAAATACATGTTTTGGTCCATTTCGCAGATTGCTCGCTAGCTCTTGAGTTGTCTGCTTGAGCGCATGGGTTGCAGCAAATGGGTTGCCGCGGCTGTCAATCTTTCAATTTTAACATTTGTCAAATGCTTTGCGTGACTTCCTCTTAAGCTCCAAATGCCGTAGTGTGACTTGGAGTAGTTCCTAATGACATGGCTAGTGCAAGCCACATTCCTTTTCCGAAATCCTTCGGCGATGATATCAGACTCCATTGCAGTTGAAGGCCCGACCCAGTTTTTGAAGCAGGCATGATTGCGTGGAGTCTCGTTCTTGCTCATGTAGATATTGCAAGTACTGCAATACTTGTTACAAACAAAAAGGTATAGGATTTTATTTGTTCGTGACCCGATGATGACAGCAACGCCTGAGCTTGACGTGTATCGGTAGCCCTAATTGCGGTGGGCCTATACAGCATCGATGACGACAGTTATGTACGCTAATACATCCTCAGTCTAGTCTCCAGATTCGCACACCATTATGTGCTCTTTTCGAGCCGTGACCATTTTAGAAAGCAAAAAGTCTTCTCACTTCAGCCTCACGCTCTCTTCATATTTGCTGAATGCTGTCGGCGACATACAAAGAATGTTCAGGAGAGAGAATATTTCTTCTATTGAGCTGAACCCATTTCCGGTGCATAACGCGCCCATTGCTAGCTGCCTCGTTGATGCTGGTTTACTTCGAGTGCTTAGTTGAAACTTGAAATGACCCGTTCTTCATTGCAGTGCGTGCACACAAACGTAAACCAAGAGCACAAGGCCTGCCTTCGCTCATGCACAAATCGAAATTTGCCACGCGTATCCGTCGGGCAATCATGGCGTTCAAGTTTACGGATTTTGGTAATGAAAGGCCCAACAGAAACTGTTCTTCTACCTTCGACTTGAGTGGAAGTGTGCTAACCTAAACTGTGTGGTAGCTTATTATTTGAGATATAGATGGAGGTTCCACAGCTTGGATTTTTGGCGATGATGTTGGGCAGATTGAGTAGACTCGAGGTTGATGAGCTTGAAGATGGCGCTGGCCCTGGTTCAGGACAAGTTGTTCAATTTATCACGGAAATGGAAACAAAATATTGGCAAAATAAGTTAATATAAATTTTTGCATAATCACACCGAGAAAAAAAAACGTGTATTCTCTCATTATTGGGGTTTGCACGCGATTTGACTTCGTGTTTATATGTTAAATAAAAAAGAAATTCATGATATATTGAAGAAATAAAAACTACGGATAAAGTTTTTTTTTTTTTTTTTGTCACATTGAAAGTTACATGGTCTTTCCTTTTTTAGATAGAAGAGCTTAGAAAACAAACCAAAAGCAAATTAGGCACTACACCACAGCCTGGTTTACTGCAGCATGGTTAGCGCTGCAGGTGAAATATTTCGCCGGTACACAATGAAACCTAGCCTGTGGTATTTTACAAGCAACACAGCAGTGTTACCAGACCATAGGCCGGTACGATGCTCATCGAGATTGAAAGCGGCACGTGCAGAGATCGAGCCGGAGATCCCTGGGTTCCGCGCAGTGCGAATATTCTCCTTACCGTCTTTGAGGTGTGGTGCGCCCCAAAATATATGAGCAGCGGCATTCTTTGCAAATATATTATCAAAAATTTTAACACGCACAATTTCAACATCCTAAAATTATAACTATTCAAAATATAGTGACGATT